AACATTCATATACATAAAAAGCCAATTAGTAAAGTTCTCTATCTAGCAGCAGACTCATTGAATGTTCACTTCACAGTCTCCCATCCTGAGCAAGCACAAAGGAGACAGTGGACAGGAAAAACTCCCTTTTAACAGGAAGAAACCAGGCTCAGGTCGAGCAGCCATCTGCTTCAAATGGCTGGGTTTCAGAGGAACAGGAAGTAGAAACAGACAAACACAGAATGACAGGTCCAGACGTACATCATATAGGAGGAAATACAAAAAAACATGTTAAGATAGAAACAATTACAAATACAAACAGGTGGGGTAGTGCAAGTAAAGACAGCAGAGTGAGGAAATGTGGTCAGTTTGTCCTCCAGCAGTGTAAGTCTATTGCAGCCTAAGTAAGGAATAGCTCAGGAAACCCAAGCCAACCCTTCATACATCCATTATCTTCTGCTTGTCCTGAAGTCAGCTTGTGGCCAACCAACCCTAACTATAGGATTTATCAAAAAGGAAAGACTTAAGCTTAATCTTAAAAGTAGACAAGGTGTCAGCCTCACAGACAAATCTGCAAATTCTGCAGCAATGACAAAACCTGTCTGGGTAAAAAAAGAATAATCTTACTTGGGAGTTCATAAATTCATGAGACACTTTAACATTCTAAATGAGCTCCTGGATAATTATAAACCTGCCAACAGAATCAGGACAAAAACAAATCTAATTATTGTTAAAGTAATGAAATAACGTTGTAGGACAGACTGAAGGGTTTAACTGAGTGGCGACAACATTGTGTGCATCCGTTCAGCTGCATGGTGTACTTTGTGCACTTCACATTCAGATCTGAAGCAGAACAGTTTTTTCTGCAGCTGCCTTGGTGAACTCCACTTATGGCTCTCATTTCAAGGTTAACATACTCAAAGATGGCTAAACTAAGAGAAACTTCAGAGTTTATGAAAAAACTTTCCTGAGTTTATTTTAACTCAGAGTTTGTTGAAGCTACTTTCTGGTTGACCATCCAGCTCTGCAGAAACATTCAGTGATGAAGGTGAAATCACTGGAAAAGAACGTAGAAAATTAGATGAAAATTGTTTTATTTTCAGTGTTCAATGAATGACCCTGTGCTGAACACAATCTGAGCTTCTACAGAGGCTCCAGCAGAACACAAGAACTTTGTCAGTTTCTGGTTCAGTGATTCATTCAACTCTGCAAAGTTCTGTTTCTTCTCAGTACCAGCTTTGTCATTGTGATGCATTCACTGTACCTCTGCTCTGCCGTTAACAAAATGTTATAGTCTCTTCAGAAAGAATAAAGCTGATAATGTAATATTTAAGTTTACACTGTGAACTTCTTTGAGGTCAATAACCTTATTTTTCATTCAAATTTCCGTTAAATGTATTAAACCGTTGGTTACGTACTGTAACCCCAGATTCTATGAGTATAGGTGTAGCCCTTTAAGGCTGTCGCTGGTGGGTTTTATCCCGTCATGCAAAGCATCGCACTGAAAAAATTTAGTTCACGCCCACCTGTTGTGTGTGCCCCACCCGGTCCGTATAAATTACGTTAAGAGCGGGTAATCGGCTCCCAAAAAGCTTTTTCTTCAGCCATTTAGGAGCCAGTGAGGCCCGACGCTTAAAGTGCTATGCCTATACTCGTATAATCTGGTGTTGCAGTACGTAACCAACGTTCTATTTCGTATAGGCTTTGCCCTTTAAGGCTGTCGCTGGTGGGTTAAGGGCGAAGCAGATGTAGTCCTTGCCTCACTGCGTCCATTTGAACACCATAAGAAGTGCCCGCTTGCCCAAAAACAACATCTTGTCACTCAGCTCTCCATGTGCATAAATACGCATTGCGTAATTACGCGCGTCATGCACAGACGCGCACTGTGTAATTTACGCGTTCCGAGTGCATGAACGCCCCGGAAAGGTTTTCAACAGAAAAGAGGAGAGGCTGAAAAAGGCCGTGAGCAGAGCAGATCCATGGCTCTTCAGTATGAACAGATTAATAATAAATGAACTGATTATTAATCAATGAACTGATTGATGACAGTAGTCATGAACTGATTAATAACCATAGAACAAAAACAACAGTCATAACCTGTGACTAATAACATCTCACACTGTAATGCATGCAGTCAGATGTGAGTTTAAACGAGATTCCATGAAACAACAATATTCATTTTGTTAAGGCACTAAGGACAGAATGTGTCATGGAACGAGCCGTCACATCACGTAAATAGAAGCGAATAAATGAGCAGGATGTTGACCACACGGTCGCAGTGCAAATATCCTGCATTGTCATACCATTATGCAAAGGAGTCAAAGATGTGATACCTCTGGTCAGTGCGCCCTGAGGTTGTCAGGAGGCTCTAAATCTGATGCTCTGTAGGCTTCAGAAATGGCCTCACACAGCCAGTGTGACAGGTGCTGGGTGGATAACGGATGACCTGCAGATGCGTCTCTATAGTGCACAAACAAATGTTGAGACTGACGCAATGCTGCCGTGCGTGTTACGCAACACGTCAATGCACGTACAAGGCAGAGAAGATGGAAAGATGCTTCTTCTTCTGATTGTGGGGGTGGGGATCCCTCCAACGAAATCGCTCTTGATTTAAAGAGCTTGTGATGTTTTAGGCATAAAACACTGGATTAAGCCTCAGATCAGCTGAGCTGCCATCAGCCTAGTTCTGAGACATGACGGAGCGACAGAGAGGGCAGATAAATCACTCACCCTCTTAGTGGATGATAAAGCCAGCAGCAGGGATATTTTAAGAGACAAGAATTTAATTGGAACCTGATTCAGTAGCTCAAATAGAGCTTTGATCAAGGCTTGCAGGACCAGCGTTAAATCCCACTGTGGAGCAAGTGGGCGTGAAACAGGCCTGCGTCTCTGTACACCTTTTAAAAAACGCTTCATCAGCATATGATTAAAAGCTGTTCTGTCCCCGAAAACCTTTGTGACAGGAAAAGATGGCTGCAGCGTACGTTTTAATCGTGCTGAATGCCAGATTTCTGTCCATCAGCTTCTGCAGAAAGGACAGCATGCCACCTAGTGGACATGAGGTGGCTTCTACACCTTTCTCTGTACAGCAGCACTGAAAACTGTCCACTTTGATGTGTACAGCGCTGTGGTAGATGCAGCACGTGAATCCTGGATCGTACGCACTACATCTTGAGAGGGATCCATCCTCTCTAAGTGGATCCGCTCAGCGGCCAGACTCAAAGGTGCTGACCTATTTCTGGGTAATTCCTGATCGCTACTCCTGCCTGGAGGAGAGCATCCTCCCTCCACGGCAGTTTCCATGGGCGCCCCGATAACCGGTGTCGTAGAACTGGGAACCATGGTGGGTTCACGCGCCCGGGAGCCACCAGGAGAGCTGTCAGTCCCTCCTCCTGAACTCGGTTCAGAAACCGTGATATCAAAGGGAGTGGGGGAAATGCGTAAAGAAGCATTTTGGGCCACAGGCTGTGAGCAAACGCGTCCACCCCTAGCGGTGGTTCGTCCCTCGGGCTCAGTGAGAACCATAGTTGACATTGAGCGTTCTCTCGTGTTGCAAACAGGACCACAGCCACTTGCTAAACTTCTGCCACGTCTGAGCCATCAGCTCTGGATGGAGGGTCCGGTCCCCGTGACGTGGACCATCCCTGGGCATCCCATCCGCCCCCTGTTCAGAACACCAGGGATGTACACTGCTCTGATGGAGAGCAGATTTTGGTGTGCCCAACACAGCAGCTGTCTCACAATGTGTAACATTTGGGCTGAGCGCGCACCACCCCCCCACCCCCCACCCCCCTCCGCCAGTTATGTATGCAACAGTCACTTGCTGTCTGTGTGAATCAAAACATGATGATTCCGCAGCACAGATGCAAAGTGTTGAATCACATTCAAAAACTGTGTGACACTCCAAAAACTTCCGCTCAGCCCCCCTCGTTCCGACACTACGCCCTCAAGAAGGGAGTGAGCAGCGGGGGCTGTTGCTGATGTCGCTTGTCCCAGAGGAACCATTCGATTCGCTCCGAGAGTTGGCAATAAAAGTAAAAAAGGGTCGATGGCGTTGTCCAGCGTGTAGCGACCCGCCACTGAGATATATTTCTCGCGCTTACCTTGAGACAAGGCTGCTCGTCTGCTTCTCCTCGGGGAGGAGAACTCACCGGGACGGCAGGAGGTTGGCGTGGCGGGACCACAGGCAGCCTTAACAAAGGTTGAGCTGGTCAAGCTGGACAACTTCCCTTATTCGTTCTTCTGACAGTGCTGTTAGCTTGCTGAAGAAAAATGGGAGCCGATTACCTGCTCTTAACATAATTTATACGGACCGGGTGGGGCCCACACAACAGGTGGGCGTGGACTAAATTTTTTCAGTGCGCTGCTTTGCATGACGAGATGAAACCCACCAGCGACAGCCTTAAAGGGCGAAGCCTATACGAAATAGAACTCTAAATCATTGATTGTATCTGGAATGAAGCTGCTGGGCTGGAGCTCTGATGGCTTTTTACCAGAACATGTTGCGTTTTAAATATCAGGAAACTGAGTCAGACTTACAAATGACAGATTCTGAACACATAAGTGGAATGAACTCAGTAACTTTTGCCTGAAGCTTTTAATACCCACTAACATTCCCAGGTAAGTGCCATTTGTCTGCACCCAGAGCCTCATTAGGTTTTAACAGGTTTGGATGTAATTGGGCTCTTCGGGCTGTTAATGAGCTGGAAACTATTCACTGAGCGAGTGCTGCTGACTTCAGGTGCTGGTCCAGAACCTCAGAGACACCAAAACCCCCAACAGCCAAAGACTAAAACCATTCTGTAGCTGTTTAAAACTCAGAGTTTAGTTCAGGGTTTCAGATTCAGGTTCTAGAGAAGTCCTGAGAGTCTGATAGCTCCTGAAGTCCCAGAGTCGCAATGTGAATGGACTCTGCTGTTGTCCCATCCACGATTAATGCGCTGCTATTTTGTCTCCTCTGCGCCGGTCGCCTCCCTCCTCCTCCTCCTGTCTGTCTCTCTGTCTCTCTGTCTGTCTATCAGAAATCCCGGCGCTTTAAGACCAAGAGGGAAGGCGTGGACTACGGCAACCGTCCCATCAAACTGGCTGGAAAAGTCATCATCCAGGAGATCTCCTGCCTGCTGCCCGTCCACAAAACTCTGGGAGAGAGCTACATGTGAGGGGGCACAAATTATTTAACCAAACGGATACACTTGACAGACTTCTAAAAGATTAATACTGTCATTCTCTTACATTATCGCCTGCAGTCGAAAGCCAAAGAATGATGATGATTTTGATTGTGTTTGAAAGTATTTGTGTATATTTCTGTTGGCAGAATATCTCATGAACCAGAGGACTAATTTTAATGAAACCTGCAAAAACTAATCATTGGGTGTCCATTTACAACAGATTCACATTTGTAAGAAGAAGATGCATGATTTTATTTTAAAACCATTCCAGTTTAAAACTCTAGCAGGAAAGATGGAGGATTTTTATTCACACCGTTCTTATCTTGTATGTTTAAATATGCATAAAAAAGGATGGCTGGATGTTATGGATGGATGTGATGGATGGATGGATGGATGCTATTGGGCGACTGTGGCTGAGTGGTTAGAGCAGTTGTCCTCCAATACAAGAGTTGGTTCAATTCCACCAGCATTCACGTGCCGAAGTGTCTCTGGGCAAGACACTGAACCCCTCATTTCCTTCGATGTGTGTCCCATCGGTGTATGAATGTGATAAAGCTCTGACTATTCTTTGTGTATATACAGGTGCTGGTCATAAAATTAGAATATCATGAAAAAGTTAATTTATTTCAGTAATTCCATTCAAAAAGTGAAACTTGAATATTATATTCATTCATTACACACAGACTGATATATTTCAAATGGTTTTTTTTATGTTGATGATTATAACTGACATAATGAAAACCCCAAATTCATTTATCTCAGAAAATTAGAATATTACTTGAAACCAATAAAAAAAAAAAAAAAAAGATTTTTCGAAATGTTGGCCAACTGAAAAGTATGAACATGAAAGGTATGCGCATGTACAGCACTCAATACTTAGTTGGGGCTCCTTTTGCCTGGATTACTGCAGCAATGCGGCGTGGCATGGAGTCGATCAGTCTGTGGCACTGCTCAGATGTTATGAGAGCCCAGGTTGCTCTGATAGTGGCCGCTCTTCTGAATTGTTGGATCTGGCATTTTGCATCTTCCGCTTCTCAATAGTTAAGGTAAGGTGAGTTTGCTGGCCAATTAAGAACAGGGGTACCATGGTCCTTGAACCAGGTACTGGTAGCTTTGGGACTGTGTGTAGGTGCCAAGTCCTGTTGGAAAATTAACTCTGGATCTCCATAAAGTTGATCAGCAGCAGGAAGCATGAAGTGCTCTAAAACTTCCAGGTAGACGGCTGCGTTGACCTTGGACCTCAGAAAACACAGTGGACCAACACCAGCAGATGACATGTCACCCCAAACCATCACTGACTGTGGAAACTTGACACTGGACCTCCAGCAACATGGATTCTGTGCCTCTCCTCTCTTCCTCCAAACTCTTGGACCTTGATTTCCAAAGGAAATGCAAAATTTACTTTCATCAGAGAACATAACTTTGTACCACTCAGCAGCAGTCCCAGGCGAGACACTTCTGATGCTGTCTCTTGTTCAAGAGTGGCTTGACACAAGGAATATGACAACTGAAACCCATGTCTCGCATACGTCTGTGCGTGGTGGTTCTTGAATCACTGACTCCAGCTGCAGTCCACTCTGTGAATCTCCCCCACATTTTGGAATGGATTTTGTTTCACAATCCTCTCAGGGTGTGGTTATCCCTATTGCCTGTACACTTTTTTTATTTTATTTTTTTACTACATCTTTCCCTTCCCTTCACCTCTGTTAATGTGCTTGGACACAGAGCTCTGTGAACAGCCAGTCTCTTTAGCAATGGCCTTTTGTGTCTTGCCCTCCTTGTGCAAGGTGTCATTGGTCATATTTTGGACAACTGTCAAGTCAGCAGTCTTCCCCATGATTGTGCAGCCTACAGAACTAGACTGAGAGACCATTTAAAAGCATTTGCAAGTGTTTTGAGTTAAATAGCTGATTAGAGTGTGGCACCAGGTGTCTTCAATATTGAACCTTTTCACAATATTCTAATTTTCTGAGATACTGAATTTGGGGTTTTTATTAGTCAGTTATAATCAACATTAAAAAAAAAAACCATTTGAAATATATCAGTCTGTGTGTAATGAATGAATATAATATTCAAGTTTCACATTTTGAATGGAATTATTGAAATAAATGAACACCCCCCCCCACCCCCCCACTGGGGTGGGGGGGTGGGGGGGGGTGCTTGCTCAGCCCAAATGTTACACATTGTGAGACAGCTGCTGTGTTGGGCACACCAAAATCTGCTCTCCATCAGAGCAGTGTACATCCCTGGTGTTCTGAACAGGGGGCGGATGGGATGCCCAGGGATGGTCCACGTCACGGGGACCGGACCCTCCATCCAGAGCTGATGGCTCAGACGTGGCAGAAGTTTAGCAAGTGGCTGTGGTCCTGGATGGATGGATGGCTGAATAGGTGTATGTTATGGATGGATGTGATGGATGGGTGGATGGCTGGATGGGTGGGTGGATGGATGGATGGATGGATGGATGGATGGATGGATGGATGGATGGATGGATGGATGGATGGATGGATGGGTGGGTGGGTTTGGATGTTTGTGCCTTAAAGGAAAGTCTCACAGTACTCTGCGAGGACAGCCTGTTGGTGAGTTGGGACAGTGTGCAGGTGGGACTTCTGTGTCGAGGGTTCTGCCTCACATCTCCAGTCTGCAGACCCTGGCCCTAAACACACTGTAGCAGTGAACCAGTATCTGCTCTGGTAGGATCCCACACTAACCTCTTGGTGATAATAATAATAATGGTTCTGACGGTAACACCTCCCATTTTTTATCATTTTACATGGCTGCCTCAGCTAATATAAAATGGTTATAAGTGGTGTGACAGCAGCTCGGAACAAACTTTAAGCCTGAAATTAGCCTAATTTTTAAGTTCTTTTAAAACGTCTTAACTGTGTGTTTGTAGTGTTAAAGTTCTATTGTTTGTTTGTTTTCAGTCTGGACATGAATGACATCCAGGATACGTGTCAGAAGAACGCAGCAGCAGCTCTGGCAGTTGGACGCAGAGACGTGGCGAAGGTTAACCAGTTTTCATAATGCGATAAACTGCTGACACATCACATGTCTGAATGATTACCAAACAGGATGTGACAAGATCTGCCCATTTAAAACTGTCCCGTGAACCACCCCAAAAATCATCTGGTGATCTGGTGAAAAAATCTATTTGTGTGGCAGCAGTTTACAAACAGGTCAGGCACTAGGTCTAGGACCATGCAGCCCATCAGTCAGTCTGTGAGCTGCTTTAAGCAGACTGCGTTCTTCTCAAGATGGAAAGTGTCTGTTCTTGGCCACATGGTTATAAGAAATTCTTTTTTCACATGGACTCCTAACAGATTCTGAAGCAGCCTTATTAATTATTAATATTATTATATCCTATATATTATTATATTAAGCCTTAACTTATTAGTAAGCAACATGTCGACTTCTATTTTGGTGTGTGGCGGCATCTAGGTGTAAAATAGGTCCCGTCAAGAATTGGGTCAAAATCTAAGATGGCTGCCGCCATATATCTATGTAAACCCACCACCTCATTTGAGGAAACTTCTTTCTAGTTTTTATATTGCTTAGAAGTATAATTTCCTCAAATGATTAGGGTGGCTGGTAGAGAAGCTTGATCTTGGGTGGTCAAGGCCACCGTTGGCCACCCCCTGTCTCTGCATCTACACCTGGTGATGGATAAAATCTCTCTCTCTGCTCACCAGGATTTATCCCTTTGAACTGCCATGGACAAAAAAAAACCTCCCTCTGTTCTACTCCACAATGTAACTCCTAGCTACTTGAATATTTTTTTCACCAAAAACATTAAGGTTTACAGTAGTCCCTCGTTTATCACGGGTGGGATCCGTATCCTGTAGCCTCACAATAAGTGAAAAACCGCAAAGTAGGAATATTAGTACAAGTAGTAAGTAGTAGTATATTTTATTATTTATTTATATATATATATATATATATATATATATATATATATATATATATATATTTAAAGGCGTTTTAAACCTTTCCCACACTCTTGCAATAATCTAAACGTTTCTAAACTAAACGCTCTAAAAGAGCACAGTGTCATGATTTCAGCTCCCTACCTTGTCTTCTCCTTGCCACCTGCAAGCGTTCTTGGCCACGCCCACTTCTCCACTCTGAACAGCTGATCAGACTTCTCCACTCTGCATGCTTAACAGCTGATCAGCTGTTAAGCTGCAACAGGAAGTTAATTCTGCAGTAAGGGCAGCACAAATGTGCAGGAGGTGCTAAATAATTCATCCATCCATTATCTTTACCCGCTTATTCCATTTTGAGTCACGGGGGTCGCTGGTGCCCATGTCCAGCAATCACTGTGCGAGGGACGGGGTACACCCTGGACGGGTCGCTAGTCCATCACAGGGCCACATAGAGACAAACGAGACAAACAACCATTCACTCTCTCATTCACACCTAGGGACAATTTAGAGTTACCAATCAGCCTAACATGCATGTTTTTGGTCTGTGGGAGGAAACCGGAGCACCCGGAGAAAACCCACGCATGCACGGAGAGAACATGCTAACTCCACCCAGAAAGGCCCCTGGACCGGGATTTTGACCCAAGGACCTGCTCGCTGAGAGGCAGCAACTCTACCAGTTGCGCCACCGTGCTGCCCCTAAATATTTCAAAATAATTTTATTCTAAATAAAAATTCCATGCCGATCGTGCGGCTTATTCATCAATCAGCCAATTGTGTGTCATCATGTCTAGTCTTATTTTGAAAAACTGTGTTAAAGTGAGCTTACGATACACCATACCATACCATACCATTTTATTTATAGAGCACTTAAAACAGCTACAAGGCCAACCAAAGTGCTGTACAGACAGAACAATAGACAACACACGGAGCAATATACAAAATGAAGTAGATCAAAAATATAGACATAAAAACGATGCAGATAATAAATATGACGACAAACCAGTGTGGAGCGTACAGGTTCAAAACACATCCTCTGGTGTTGAAAGCTACTGGATAGTAGTGAGTTTTTAAACGGGATTTGAAAACCGAGAGAGAGGGGGCCTGTCTGACAAGCAGAGGTAACTCGTTCCAAAGTCTTGGTCCTGCTACAGAGAAGGCCCTGTCACCTCTGCGCTTAAGACGAGTTCCTTGAACTGTGAGGAGCAATTGGTCCGCTGGTGGAACGTGGTGGGACATACGGTTGTAGCAGATCAGAGAGATGGGGGAGGCGAAACTGTTCAGCGATTCGTAGACATACAGGATTATTTTGAACTGGATTCAAAGGTGAACCGGTAGCCAGTGCACTGAGGCCAAATCTGGTGTAATGTGCTCTGTTTTGCCTGTACTGGTTAAAAATCGGGCTGCTGCATTCTGGACCAGTTGTAGTCGTGCAATGGAGGTCTGACTGATACCAAACAGGAGTGAATTGCAATAATCAAGCCTAGATGTAATGAATGCATGTATTATTGTCTCCAGGTTATTTTTGGACAATATGGGCTTCAGTTTAGACAGCCGCCTCAGTTGGAAAAAAACATGATTTAACAATCATGTTTTCATGATTTTTAAGTTTCAGGGAAGGGTCCATTATCACTCCCAGATTAGTGACCCTTTGTTTTTCTGACAGGGTTAGAGTGGAAAGGTCGATGCAGTGGTTTGTGATCGTGTCATTGGGAGGGAACAACATGACTTCAGACTTCTTTTTATTGAAGCTTAAGAAGTTTAAAGCCATCCAGTCCCTGATGTCAGCCAGGCAGTCGAGCAGAGGTTGAATAGAGCATGTACCATTGTGTCTTAGGGGGAAGTAAATTTGACAGTCATCGGCGTAGAAGTGAAACAGTATGTTGTGTTTCCGGAAAATAGCACCAAGTGGCAGCAGGTTTAGAGAGAATAGGAGGGGACCCAGGATGGACCCCTGCGGAACCCCCCATTTAAGCTCTGTCGCTGCAGGACTAAAATCCTTAATGGAGACACAAAAGGATCTGTCAGTTAGGTAGGATCTGAACCAATTGAGGGCTGACCCTGTGATGCCCACCCCACTGCTCCAACCTAGCAATGAGGATCTCATGGTCGATGGTGTCAAAGGCGGCTGTGAGGTCCAATAGGACAAGCAGCACAGAATCACCAGTATCTGTGGATCTGAAGATGTCATTAAAAACGTTCAGTAGAGCAGTTTCAGTCCTTTGGAGAAGTTTAAAGCCAGATTGGAATAGCTCTAAGATGGCATGATCCCCAGGAAGCACTTCAACTGGGACTCAACTATTTTCTCCAGTATTTTAGAAACAAATGGGAGTTTTGAGACAGGCCGGAAGTTGGAAACGACTGAGGGGTCAAGGTTTGTTTTTTTCAGGAAAGGCTGGACAGCAGCATGTTTAAAGGTTTTTGGCACCATGCCAGTGAATAAACTACTGTTTACTATAGCCAGAATGGATGGACCTAGAGTAGGAAAAACCTCCTTTAGTAGTCAAGGGAGGACCACATCAAAGGTGGAACCAGAAGGTTTCAAGCTGCACATGACCTGCTCTAGAGAAGATAGTGATGGGTTCAAAATGGTCAAATAGAGCTACAGATTGAGGTGGGATGGATGGGTCATGAGTTAAGCCTCCAGTATACTGCCCCGTACGTCCATTCACGCATACGTACGTGTGTACTGTACACAGAGGGTTCATTCTTCGTACTCCAGCGTACACCCTGAGCAGCTGCAGAGCAGCTTCACAGACAAGGGGCGTTTACCTTCGGGACAAATTGAGGTCGCCGATTGGTCATTTGCTGACATGCCTACTGAATTGATTGGCAGGTCGGAAAAAAGAAAAAAAAGGAGCGCTGGCAGCCTCTGCCACAGCGGTGTTCTGCGTTTATACGTTGTTAATAAAAAGATCTAAAAAAAAAAAAAAAAACGGAGCGCTAGCTCTAAAGCCCACACATCAGACCAGCACACCAGGAATTCTCGAGACCCTCCCACAGCCATGCTGGACCTGAGCTTAATTCGCTCGTGACATATTCCTTCATTTCTCACCATTTCAGTCATGGCATCAACGGAGGAGGAAGAGATCACTGCCTCTTGGGAAAAAACAAAAGAAAAGGCCAGATCAGAGATGAAGAAGGGGAATTTAATACATTGGTGTCTCATACAAAACAGTCCATCGCTGGGCAGTTTATTGTGCGACACCGCGTACGCGTATGCAGTTGTAAAAATTTGAGCTTTGCACAGACATGCCCTGGGGGGTACGCTCAAACCTCTGCATACGTACGTGCGTACCTCTACGTATGGACGTACGCGAGAGTATACTGGGGGCTTTAGAGGGGAAAAGAGAGCCTGTGTGGTCATAATTTTTTCCAAAAAGACGTGTAAAAAGTTCTCGCACAGCTCAGTCGAGGCTTCCAGAGGTGATGGTTCAGTGAGGTGGAGAACAGAGTTTAGGGTAGAAAAGAGGACACGTGGGTTGTGAGAGTTTGAGGTTATGATATCAGAAAAGTATTTGGATTTAGCAGCTTTTACTGCTTTCTGATTACGGCTACAACTCTCTTCAAGTATTTGGAAAGAGACCTGCAGCCTGTCTTTCCTCCACTTGCTGTCCGCCCCCCTGCACTGCTGCCTAACGGCCTTGTTGACGTCACTCAGCCAAGGTTCTGCTCTGAGTTTTGATTTTCTAGCTTTAACAGGAGCGACATGATCCAGAGTCTTTTTAAGCAGATAGAGTTGAACTGGGATGTCAGCGCTTCCGTGGTGGTGAGAAACACCAGGGGCTGAATGATCATTTCAGAGTTATAAACATCTGTGAAACGTGCGGCAGTGAAGTGGTTAATGGCCCGGCTACTACGTGCAGGAATGCACGGCTTAGGAGTTAGATGGGGGAGGGTGAACTCAAACTGGACTGGCATGTGGTCTGAAAAAATATTATCACCAATTTCAAGATTACTAACAGTCACATCACGAGTTAAAACAAGGTCCAGTTTATGCCCACGCTCTTGGGTGGGACCGTTTACATGCTGAGTTAGATTAAAGGAGTCTTCTGAAGAGGAGACGTGGGTCCCCCTTCCCATGGG